AGCCGCGGTGGGCTCGGCGTTCTCAGATGGAAGCTCTTCCAAATCCCATTCGGACTCCTTGGGCTTTGGAAGCGAGGCGAGCTTGCTACGCATCTGTTGGCGTATGAAATTCTCGTGGTTTCGGATGTCGCGAGGCGTGCTTCCAACAAGCTGTGTGCTTCCTCCCTCCCGGTTCAGAGCAAAGTGGTCTCGTGGTGTGCGCAATGGCGTAGCACCAACACCACCAGGCATAGGTGTGGCACCCATGCCGTTCGCTTGCCGGAATGGCGTGGCCATGGGGTTGGGGGTGACGATATCCTGTCGCCGAGGAGCAATCCCATCAAAGCCAGTTGATGAGCCACCCTCGTGAAGAGGTGTGTTGTCTCCGCCCAGAAGAGAAGACTGTGTCTCGGTCAAAGCCCGAATGTTTTTGATTTCGTTGGCGATGTGATCCTCCTCGGGGGCAGCGCGCGGGGTTCTGATCGGAGTTCCTCCAACAATGCCCGAGTAGTTACCAATGAGACCCCGAGTAGTTTCTTCGTCGGCGCTCATTCTGCTGGCCTTGTCACCAGCCATTCCCATCTTAATAATATCTTCCATCTCGCTTTCGCTGACCTGAGGCGCTGGTAGATTCAAGCCTCGTCGCTTGCTGCTCTGCTCTGCCTCACGGATTTTTTGCATTTGACCTGCCCGCGCGGCAGCAGCTGAAGCGGCCGTGGCACTGTTCTTATCGTTCTTACGCTTCTTGCGCTCCGCGTCATCATCTTGGTCACCCTTTCGCTTATTCGCGAGCTGCTGCTTTCGAGGATCAAATGCTTCCCGTTCACGCTCATTCTGACTCTGTTCATTAATTGTGTCGTAGAATCCAGGAGCGGCTGGCTTTTCGAAGGGAATGTCTGCATTGTAATCCATCTGGCCGGGCTTCCTTGTGACGACCTTGACGTTGATACCGGCATGCTTCAGTTCGCGGCGCTTCTGGAGGACTGCAAGTCGCCGGGACTCTTCCAATTGACGTTCTCTGGCCTTTCGCTTGGCCTTTTTACCCTGTGTGTTGGCGAGACGAGCACGGGCTTCGCTCAGCATCTCCTTCTCATCTTCATCCAGGTCGATCGTATCGGGGCGAGCTGGCTTGGATTCCGGGTCGGGGTCAAGTTCACCGGGACTAAAACGATCAGCGACAAGTGGGAAATATATGTGTGAAATAGACATACCGTAGACGGCGGACATCATCCGCACTGGGCGCAGCGCTCTCCTCGCCAGGCCCTCCTAGCCCAAGCTCATCGTTCTCACGAGACTCGGCCTCATCCAGAAGCTTCTGGTAGCGTTCAAGACATTGTGTCGCGGTACGCCCAACGATGGGTGCGATCGTGCGCCATTGCGTGGGCATCAGTTTCGCGAGGTGCAAGAGCTTCTCATCCTCCTCCCGTGACCACTCAACCTTGCGAATACCTGGGTCCAGCCATTCAATCCAGCGCGCCTTACATTGCTTCGGTGTTTTCCGCGCGAGCAGTGACGACACTCGAGCCCACTGGTTCAGACCATATTTCGATACCTGCGATCGTGTCAGTTTTCGCCCCATATACCGTTGGCCACAAATGATTGCGGATTGTAAGAGAAAGGCGTACAGCTGCACGAAGCACCTCATCCTCGATATTGGTCCTAGAAACGCGTTAGAAGAGAAGTTCGCGGGTGGACTGTAACGGGGTTCTTACCAGACACCTCCTTTGACGACAGGCATAGCGTGCGATCGCGCTTTGCGCAGGGTCCTCCGGGAGATAAAAGTGAAAAATCAAGGGCGCCACCAGGAAGATGGAGAATTGACAACCCTCTGGCGATGGGGGAGTTCAAGTGATGACAGCTCGAAGCGGAAGAAATGCGAGTTTGCAGTTTAGCGCGCTTAACGTGATAACCGCCCCCGCGCGTGCTGAGATAAGCAGACCCAGATTTTTTTTTGGGAAGAAAAAAAGATAAGCCAATTTTCATACTTCACCGTCAACTATTTGTTTCCACAATGTCGACCTCTGTGGATGCCCCTCAGCAATTCAAACAGCCTTCCCGTAAGGGCAAGAAGGCGTGGCGTAAGAATGTCGATGTCACTGAGGTTCAGGAGGGTTTGCGCAACCTGAAGGATGCAGAGATCAAAGGGTACGCCTATCTTTCTTTTTATTTCGTGGCTGAATCAATGTACTGACTTTCCCTCTAGTGGTCTTGTATCCGAGAAGCCTTCCGATGAACTTTTCACTCTCGATACTACCGGATCTGAAGAAGTGCGCAAGTCCTATGCCAAGCGACACAAGCCTCTCAAGGCAGACGAGATCCTCGCCCAGCGGTCTATGATCCCCGCATTGGACGGTCGCAAGCGTGGAAACCCCAACGTTACCGATGGAGTCATTGAGCCGAAGACGAAGAAGGTCAAGAACGACTGGGTCAGCCGCAAGGAATATCTGCGCTTGAAGCAGGTGGCAAAGGAGAACAACCCTGGCAAGAAGACTGAAACTGAGATTTACGATCCCTGGGCGGACGAAGCTGAGCCCGCGACTACCTACGATGATCCTCGCTTCGATTTCCTGACCAAGCCCAAGCCCAAGGTTGAACCGGTCACACTAAAGCACGCTCCTATCTCACTCGCTGCCAACGGAAAACGCGTTCCCTCTGTTAAGACGCCGCACGCTGGAACGAGTTACAACCCTGTCTTCGAAGAGTGGGACCAGCTCTTGGAGACGCATGGTGCTAAGGCAGTTGAGGCTGAGAAGAAGCGACTTGAGGAAGAGGCCAAGGAGGCTGAGAAGCAGCGTATGATTGAAGCGGCTCAGAATGATGACGGCGAGGTCAAGTCGGACGATGAGAGCGCTTGGGAGGGCTTCGAAAGCGAGTATGAGAAGCCCGAGTGGCTGAACAAGAAGCGTCCCGAGCGGAAATCCAAGACGCAGCGGAACAAGGTCAATCGTCGCAAGGAAGCAGAGCGGAAAGCGAAGTGGGAGGCTCAGATGCGCAAGAGAGATGCACAGGCCGAGCATATCGCCAAGATTATTGAGGAGGTCAAGCAACGAGAACTTGAGCGCGAGAACCAGTCCGATGCGGATGATTCTGAGGAGGAGGAGGGTGATGACACTACCCTCCGCAAAAAGACTTTTGGTGGGAAGAAGGCGTATGTTTCCACTTATCTTATGTTCTACTTGACTTCTTGACTAACAAGCATTTAGGGTGCCTGAGAAGCGGTTGGAGCTGGTGCTTCCCGATGAACTTCAGGATTCGCTAAGACTTCTGAAGCCCGAGGGCAACCTCCTGGATGACCGATTCCGAACATTAATTGTTCAGGGTAAGCTCGAGTCCCGCACACCGATCACGCAGGCCCGCAAGGCCAGGAGACAGGTGACCGAAAAGTGGACTGCGAAGGACTTCAAGACTGGGTACGAATAATTCTGCTGCATATTCCCTCTAAAAGCGCGTGCATTTGGACATACATTGCGTCCTACATAGTATCAAATATTGTTTCCACTATACAACAGTAAAGCAAAGTAGCTCACGTACAAGTGTTTACTCTTTACTCTCCATCGTGTAAAGATAAAAGTGGGTCCCGAAAATTTACTTGCTTATCGCCTTTTTATCTTCCCAACTTCCTCCATGCAGCATTGTCACCATGGACAAGACCAGTCTCTCCAGTAATTGGAAGAAGCTGCAGGCAACGCTGAAGAAGGATACATCTACTGCTAAACGCAAGTCCTCCGATCGCGACGGAGATGCCACCGTGAAGAAACGCAAGACAGAGAAGCCGAAGACCAAGACCACGATCACGACAGGAGACAAGCCAACACTCAAGCGCAAGAGAATGTCAGAGAGAACAGAGCTGGCCACAGACTCCAAATTTCAGGCCTCGCCTACCCGGAGAAAGTCCAGCGCAGGAGTTCCAGCTGAGCCCAAGATCAGTTCCCGTGCCGGGAAAGAGAATGAAGGTCGTTCGCCGACGTAAGTGCTTTCTCTCCATGGTACACATCCTACCTTATGACCATATACTAAGTTGAACAGCGCCGAACTAGGAAAATATGTCGCAATGGATTGCGAAATGGTAGGCGTCGGACCAAACCCAGACAACGACTCCGTACTGGCCCGCGTCAGTGTCGTCAACTTCAACGGCGACCAAGTATACGATTCATACGTGCGGCCCAAGGAGATGGTTACAGACTGGCGCACGCATGTGAGCGGAATTGCCCCGAAACACATGGTCGAAGCCCGGACTTTCGAACATGTGCAGAAAGAAGTGGCGGAGATTATGAAAGATCGCATCCTCGTTGGTCACGCCGTCAGCAATGATCTGGACGCTCTTCTACTCAGTCACTCCAAGCGTGACATCCGGGATACCAGCAAGCATGCACCCTATCGGAAGATTGCTGGTGGTGGATCACCACGTCTGAAGATGTTGGCGGAGGAGTTCTTGGGGTTGAAGATTCAGGACGGAGCGCATTCTAGTGTGGAAGATGCTCGGGCTACGATGGCACTTTATCGACGTGAGAAGGATGCCTTTGAGCGGGAGCATTTGAAGAAATGGCCCGCTCGTATGATTGCGGATAACAGGGAGAAGGGTGATGGAGACAAGAAGAAAAAGAAGAAGAAGAAGACTACTCGCAAGCGTTGATATTGAGTGAAGATGGTTGAGACATAGATACTTTGTATATGTATACCCCCAATCGCATCCAATTGAATTTATTATTGCATTTCGATAGAGCTCTGTAATAGAACAGATCATCTCCACAGAAATGTTCATTCCAGATATATGTAGTGTAGTTGTGTTCAGTGTTGATCCCGAGTATTCGATTTTCCACTTAACGCGGCAACGCGACGCGCCTCGAACCTTACCGATCTCTTACAATCCCTGCCCGAACATCCCAGTAACCCCGTCAACTCGAATTGCAGCCTGCGTACAATTACATTCAATTCCTCAATACAGCTTTTGAGTACAGTGTACATCTCTACCGCACCAACCTCAGACCCTCCATCTCCATCTCCAACCCTCGCGTGACACAATGCCAGACATGTACGCCATCCGACCCTGCACAAAAGCAGACACACAATCGAAGGACACCTCAACACCGCAGTACACACCCAACATAATCCCATGCAAAATCCACCACGACGGAGCAATTGATTCCTTGGACCGGTACTGGGCGCCAGTGACAGACGAAAAAGGTACAACAAGCAGTTCAGTCCACAGTCTACTGCCCGATAAAGCACAAAAAGAAAGAAGAGAAGAACAAGAACAAGAACAAGCACTAATCAACCTTTCTACACAGATAACACACAAACCTCATATTTCCGCGGCCGCAAACTTCGAGGTCGGCGCGTTGCCCTTCCGGACGGGTATCGAGGTACGACAATACATACCCAGACGAAAGACTGGCTACCTAGCTAGTTAGTCTTAGTACAAGCGGCTAATTCTATCCATCTACCCCGATCTAGGCGTCGTCGCAACACCAACCGATCGCGTGTTACCTTCGAGTCAACAAGTCCCCAATGATGACAATGAAGTCGTAGAAGTTGAGCCCGAGGAACCAGTGAAGATTCTGGAGATCAATGGTACTTTTGAGGATCTTGTTGTATGGGGTCATGAGGCTCTTCCTGCAGCGGATGATACGTTCGTTAAGGGTGTTGAGGAGTGGTTGCAATTTGCGGAAGCTGTATGTTCTTTTCTTTTTATATTTTCTTTTCTGGTATGGGAGGGTGATTTACTGACTTTTTTTTAGATGCATGCTGCACCTGCTCCGGCAAATGGGAAAGAGGCTGCTGTCTGAGGGGCTTTTTATAATGGTGTTGGGGTTTTGGTAATTGGGATTGCATATAAGCTACATTCATGGGAATTGAGATCTTCTTTTAGTGCTCACCTCTCGCTTTTTGATCAGTAAAGTTGAGCCCCTAAGTATCCTGAATTGATCATCCTTATATAATTAAAGTGCTCTGCTCACTATCACCTGATTGTCACCTAAGCATCTCGATCTACTTACTGATCATTATCTCACCTAGGCAGAACCCGCTTTTTATAATATAACTTCAGAACCATATGGCAATGAACGGTTTATCATCTTTCACAAGCCTTCGCAAAATGGCGACTTTACCGTCACTTCTGTGTGCTGAAAATTGGTGGTAGGATTCGCACGAAGAAAGCTATATTAGTTTTTATGAGGATGGCACCGGCGAAGTGAGTCTTTTGTTGTAGCATTTCTGAGGAATTCAAGAGGATATTAAGCTTTATTCATGAGGACTTATGGTGATTTCCGAGGTCTGACTGATCTTCTGTTCCCATATCAAAATTGGAGACTTGTACGGCTTTATGTCGAGAGTTAACATTCAAGTAAACAATGAGTTGAAGAGGGCATATTAGTAGGACCCTGGGTTGTATTCATGAAATTGTACCTCGTTAATCATGTAAACTCATTTAGAAAAGCTTTTACATTCTGATTAGCTCCTACTTTTACATATTTGTATCTAGTTGAGTCGAGTATCATCATTGTAGATGTAGATGTAGAGATTGATAAGCTTGACCGCCCACCAACTCGATAAAGCTGCTCAAGCAGCTCAAGCAGTAAGCCACCTCCACACATCCTCCCCAGCCTATCCATCACACAAAAATGGACACCTCCAACCCCCCAACAGCCCCAGAGGCATTGATCTCCCAATTCCAAGTCACGAAACTCCTCAAGCAAGGTACCAACCCAACCCAAGCCCCTCCCCCGCAATCGAATCCAATCCAATCCAATACAAAAAAAAACTAACAATTCCCACCAGATCAAGCCGGCAGACGCATCTCCCTGCTAGGAACAATAAACAACGAACAAGGCATCCTAACAGCAGAACGCAGAGCCTTCGCAACAGAATCCCTCGACACCATCCGCGCCTTCCACGCCGCAATCTCGCGCATAAAAAACCTCGGCGACAACGACATCTACCGCTGGTACCTAGCCTCATCATCAAACGGCACCAATGGCACCACCAACCAGACCGCAGACCTAAAACTAAACCTGATCTGGCCCTGCACAGCCTCCCACATAAAGAAATACTCGGACCAACAACTGCACATGGTGACCGAAACACCAGCAGTCTACGCAAACCATGTCCGGCCCTACATGCGCGCCAAGCGCGAGGAGGGGCGGCTTAACTGGGTGTTCAATGTTCTGGAAGGACGGACGGAGCAGGAAGATGTGATTATGCGGGATGATGGGGGGCAGAACCGGGCTGAGGATGCGTTTTTGATGTTGCCTGATTTGAATTGGGATCGCGAGACGATGGGTTCGTTGCATTTGCTGGCGCTTGTGCAGAGGAGGGATATTTGGTCTTTGAGGGATCTTAAGAAGGGGCATGTCCCTTGGTTGAAGTATCTCAGGGAGAGGGTGCTTGAGGGTACTGTTTCTATGTATCCCGGTCTTGAGAGGGATCAGCTTAAGCTTTATGTTCATTGTGAGTTTTTTTTTTGGTTCTTCTTTCTTTTGATTTTGATGGTGGGGGTTATTGGGATTCTTGCTGACTTTTTTTTGTTTAGATCAACCAACTTACTATCATTTCCATGTTCATGTGGTTAATGTTATGCTTGAGGCTGGGACTACTCAGTCTACGGGTAAGGCATTTGGATTGGAGAATTTGATCTCTCAGCTTGAGATGATGGACGGGGATGAGAGTGCTAGTATGGCTGATGTTGATTTGACTTATTTCCTTGGTGAGGCGAATGAGTTGTGGACTGATATCTTTGAGCCATTGAAGCAGGGGAAACAGCCAGGTCATAAGTTAGAGTGAAGAGTTACTCAAGATACTCCATGTTTGAACGAGTAGATTAGATATCATATCTTATCATAAAGGCAGTCTAAACAACATCACATCCATGTATCTCTACTGCTCCATACTGTATGCAAGACCTCATTAAGAATAAATACAGATTTTGGTTCATAAACATAAAAAGACTATACGTATGCCCTAGCCCGCCGCTCAATCTCCTCACTATCAGTCGTCGTCTGCGTAACCTCAAACGTCCGATGAATACCCAATCCAATATCCTCAGTCAAGCGAGGCGAGGGCCGATCAATAGTTAACCTCTCCTCACTGTTACTAGGACTCAACGACCCGCCATCAAGATCGCGCTGGCTCTTGATAGTCGTCACAGTGACAGCCAGCTTATCCGGTCTCAGTCGGGACTGGGCGCTGTCATCAAGCGAGCCCAAAGGGAATGGTCGGTCGTTTCCGCCTAGTTGTCGGGATGCGGACCGTGAGCGTGCGCCTGGGAAGCCGCTTGAGTAGTCTGGGTCGGAGCGGGAGCCCGTCCACATGCGGAGGAGGGGCCGGAGGGTTGCTAGACTTCCGGCTGTGATTCCTAGGCCTGCCTCGATGTTGGACCAGACGGCGATTTCGAAGGTTGCGTCTATGGTTTATGTTAGTTGGGGGTTGTGGTGGTAGCGGGAATAAGCGGGACGTACAGAGGAAGTCGTCATCGGCGAAGGTTTGGACAAAAGGAATGCGAACAATAACTGCTGATGAAGCACTAGAGGATACTGTTAGTTGTTTGCAGTTCCGAGAACAGATGGTGAGAACGTACATGCAAGCCATGCTCAAAATACCCATGACAGCGATCTTGGTCTGCCTCTTCATGTGCAACTTGTGCACAAGGAAGATTGGCAAGATACCGACTGTGAAATCACACAACGCAGAAAAGGCACTGTAGATGTAGGTCATGACGATAATGATATCGATGCTAATGCAGTATCCGGGGATACTGGGGTCCATGGTAACCCTGGTCCAGAAGTATGCCAGCGGCTTGCACTGCAACAGCATCAGGAACATAAAGACCAATCCAGCAATGACGGTCAAGACCATGACGGTGTAAAGAATCCAGATATGAAGGCGCTTGATGGTGATGCGCATTAAGAATAGACAAACGGAGATCTTGCAAAAGATCGAGGCGAAACAATAGGCAATCTCACAGAGCCACCAGTATTTCATGGCCGTGACTCTGTTATTAGGCTCGAGATGCTCGAATTTGTAGCCTGTTCCATAGAGTGTGCCACCAATCATAGTTCCACAAAACATGGCGTAGAACAACTGTGAGATATTAGTATAGCCTCATTGACTTTGCCAAATATTCTTGGGGGAACATACCATTGCAAGAACCATTGCGGCGTCATCCCACCCAAATGCTTTCACAATCCATCCTCGCACATAACAGCGCAGCATCACTGCAATAGCAGCGATGGGCAGGAAGACCGCCGCCACGGTCTGCACCGCGGTTTTCCTCCGATACTCCTCGTCCATATTAATATAAAGACATGGGTAAACAGATTGTGTGGGGGTGAAGGATTTTAAGAAGGATCCATCTGCAGGGGAAAAAGGATGCAGAAACCTAGAATGCTTAGGGGTAAGGATCTAGCTGCATGGCTTTTTTTAGTGTAGATACCAAGCTAACCACGTTGCGATCGACGGCAGATGATCATTTGGGAGCCTTAGAAGGCTGTCATCTCCGTAAAGCCAGGAAATGCTGCGTACCGAGCGTACGAACTACCGTATTCGGCCAATTTCCTGACAGGTGGAGATGTTCTGACAGGCGTGAAAGTGGGAATCTCGACCAAAACAAAAACACTGATTTTCGGGCTTCATGTCCCGATACAACGGTGTATGGTTTCGAGTGGGAAACAAGGGGTCGGCCAGGGCTAGTCTGCGCCGTTGTGTCTAGCTTCATTTCCTTTCCTGTTTTGTTGATCCACGTCGGTGGGGCCCGACATTGGGTCTCCAGTCCGCTTCACCGTGCGTCAATCGCTGCCGTACAATGCCGACTGATGGGGCAGACTTTGTCGGGTCTTCATGTCTTTTGAGAAGGTGTGTGTGGCGATCTTGATTCACATATGGCGTGCACTAGCTTGCTTTAGTGCGTCTAGAAACAATGCATTGTGCTGTCAGCGCCACCAGAGGCGTTAGCGTGGCTTTGTCCGGTGTAAACGAGGCTTCCAAGACCTCGGCTTTTGTAGTCTCCTAACGAAAGTGGAGTGTTCTCCGTGTTCTCCGTGTGTTCTCCGGCCAACTTCTGTTCAGGGGATGTTGCTTAGAAATGCGAATTGCATGTGGTAGGGAGTTATGCAGAGAGTACGGAGTGCAATGGTTGCGGCACTGGTTACAATGTGATTGAAATATGCCTGGATTCTCAGGCTTCAAACTTGACCGATTCACCCAGGGAAAGCGATGAGTGAAGTGATTCTTAAATAGACTCAGGTAGACTCGTTTCTGGGTAAAGTTTATGTACCCTCGAGCCTCTCTCCATTTAATATGGTTTGATTAACGCTTCTGCAAACGGAGAATTAGTACGAATTAAGTTATAGTTATGAAGGATTAATAAACTTTGCCATGCATGCATGTGGTTTTGGCCCCCAAACCCCCGCAGCTCCAACTACACACTTTGATCTATAGATCTTCCACCTCACATCTCTCTCGGCTCACATCCGATCTGGAACATCACACACATCCACAATGGCCAACGTCGACGTCCCGCAAACCCGAAAGGCCTTTGTGCCTCTAGGTACAGCCCCAACCCCAACCCCACGCTCCATCCACAGCTCCAGCTCTAGCCCAGCCCCAGCTACTCGATCTTTATCCAAACTAACACAACAACAGAGAACAACCCGGAAGTAATGTCCCACCTAGTGCACCAACTAGGCCTCCCCCCAACAATCGGCTTCACGGACGTCTTCTCAATCGACGAGCCAGACCTCCTAGCCTTCGTCCCACGCCCCTCCCACGCCCTCCTCCTCGTATTCCCCGTCTCAAAATCCTACGAAACATCCCGTGAAACCGAAGACGCAGCCCTCGCACACTACACAGGCTCCGGCCCGAACGAACCAGTAACATGGTTCAAGCAAACAATCCGCAACGCCTGCGGTCTCATCGGCCTCCTCCACGCCGTCTCCAACGGGGAGTCTAAGAAACATATCATCTCCGGCTCGGATTTAGATATCTTGCTCCGCGACGCGGAGAAATTGGAGCCAGTCCAGCGTGCCGATTTGCTTTATGAGTCTAAGGCTTTGGAGAGTGCGCATGCTGATGCGGCCAGGTTGGGCGATACGGCGGCGCCTGAGGCTGCGGATGACGTTGATTTGCATTTTGTTGCTTTTGTGAAGGGTACTGATGGGACGCTTTGGGAGTTGGATGGGAGACGGAAGGGGCCGCTTGCTAGGGGGGTTCTTGGTGAGGGGGAGGATGCGCTTAGTGAAACGGCGCTTGGGCTTGGGGTTAGGCGGTTTCTGGAGACCGAGGCTAAGGGGGGAAATCCGGATTTGAGGTTTAGTCTTGTTAGTCTTGGGCCCCTTTTTGATTAGGGGTCTGTGGTGTTTAATGTCATGGATGGCGTTTTGGTTTTGATATTCCCACTGGTTATTTTCCAGTACCGAGCAGTGCACGGAATTGTTGCATTGCATTGAATGAGACTCACTGTCTTGTATGGTTTTAGGATACGAGAATCGGCGCTGATTCGAGATGCTTGAGAACATGCCAGAGCGGATATTATTCAGATGTCTATTTCTATAGTCCATAGTCTATTAAGCTCTGGCAGACGAGCACATTCATTCCCACCATCTTCGCACGAGACTTAAAGAATAACCATCGGGCTATCTCTTCTCATGCTCCATAATATCAACAACAGGAGAAATAACAGATCCCGTAGGACCAGCAATGGGTACATCCTCGGGATTAACACTAGCCATTTTCTCTCCCAATGTCTCGCTGGTGAGTACCTCAGCATCCTGGGATTCGGTATTACCCTGAGTTCCAAGGGTCAAGAACGGCACCATAAACAACGAAAGACCCGCAGCCGCAGCCGCATACCAGTAAACAGCCAAGTAAGGCTGAATGGCAGGGGTAGAAGCAGTCATCTTGTTGACGATAGAGGTTTCAACAGAGGTAGCGATACCAAGACCGAGATTATTGCAAAGCTTGCTAACCGTATTGAAGATTCCACCGGCGATGGATTGCTGGGATGGCGGTAGAGAGGACATGACGTACATCTAGTAGAGTCAGCAAACCGAACATATCATATAGATAGGAATAATGCGGCATGAAGGGACGTACATTCGTGACATTGAACTGAATATCGGCACCAACAACCACAAGAACCAAAGCCGGGAAGATAAACGCCCAGTAGGTAGCGTCTTCCTTCATGAAACTCAGAATTAGGAAGGATGCTGTGTATGCCAGTGCCCCGATTCCGGTTAACACTTTGTTGCTCACGCGGTGGAGGACCAGGCCACAGACAACATTGACTAGAACGCCGCTAACAACCATTGGGAGGAGCTTGACTGTGATTTCGAGGGCTGTTTGGTGCTTCACCTCTTGGAGGTAGAGGGACAGGTAGAAAGAAACGGCGGAGAAGCCCATGAAGCCGAGACAGAATGTTGCCATGAGCTGGAGGTTGTTAGTTTTCTATAATTTGTATGAAAGATGCCAAATGGTCCACACATACCAACGAGAAATTGCGGTCCTTCCAAACCCAAAGTGGCATCAGAGGGTTCTCGGCAATAGACTGCCAATACAAGAACGCAACAAGCAGGAAGAATCCCACGATGAACAAGCCAAGGACATAACCAGTCCTCCAACCATCCGGCGCATCACCAGCCAACCTAAAAAAGAAAAACCGTTAACAGAATCCAAAAGCAAAAGACCCAACAAAGAATAGAAATACATACGAGAGCGAACTCGAAAAGAAAGCAAACCCAACAATAACCAACCCAGTGCCCAGTAAATCAAACCTCCTCAACGCCTCCAAAGAAACAGGCGTCCTTGCAAACCCATCAGCCGGAACCGTCCAAACAGTCAAAACCGTAAAGATAGCATAAACCACCGCAAGTGCCCAAAACGACGCACGCCAGTTATACTCATGTGACGCAACACCAGAGATAATCATACCACCAACAAATCCAAGCGGATTACCAGCACTGAAACAAGCAAAGGCGCGGTTTTTCCGTTTCGACGGCTTCTCGTAGACGGCGCCTAGGGCGCCTACGGCTGGTGGGACGACGGCTGCGGCGAAGAGGCCTAGGATTCCCGAGAAGACGTCCATGTAGATTGCGTTTGTGGCGAAGCCGGCTATTAGCAGCGATAGGGTGAAGCCTGCCATTCCTATTATGAAGAGCGTTTTGCGGCCGAACATGTCGGCTAGTTTGCCGAATGATAAGAGGAAGGCGCCGCTGCTTAGGCTTTTGGGTTGGTTTTGTGTTAGTTTGTTCTTGCTCAGGTGTTTATATGTTGATTGGTGGGGTTCGAGACATGTGGGCAGTGGGTATGGCGATCGATGTGACATTGTATAGGATTGGATGGATTGAAAGGTTGAGAGGAAAGAAGTACGTACGAGGCGCCGGCGTTGATCCAGGTAATCTCAGCCGAGTTCATGTTCAAATCTGTTCCAATTGAGGCTGTCACACCAACGATGCAGCCTTGGAAGAATGATTGTTGGCCGATGGCCATGGTGGCTGTTAAGACGAATAGGCATTCTTGGAGAGTGCTGTTGAAGCATTTGGGGCGTTCGGTGTAGTCATTCTCTGCAAGTGTGACCTCTGGGTCTTTTTCACGGTCTTGCTGTGCCATTGTAGGCATTCCAGGTTGGATATCCTCTGACTGGCAACGAGCGAAGTTTTCGAGGACAGCAAATATCACACACGTCGTAATCACGCTTAATTAATTCACGTTAGGCTGGTTAGGGGTATTTCCGGCTTTCCACAGGACCGAGGGTGGGAAAGATCAGAGATCAAGCATTGTCCAGTGTATATATTATTTGGCCTGTTAGACCTACTAAGTTAGGTATAATCGCAATCACCGCAAATATTTTGTCAGCAACGGGAGAGTTCCGCCATCTGATCTTTGGCTTAGATCTTCGCACTAGTCCAATTGGGGCAATAGTGGGCTACTTTGCAAGGATATGGTTGTCGCAATCACCTAAACATGCATAGATTTGAGCAGATTATCGGTGAGGGTATTACTGTACATGTTGCCACATATCGACGCTATTCCGGAAACCAATTTCCTGTTGTATCATTAACCCAACACTCGCGGGCATTGAACTTGAGGGCCTCATTCCCACAGGCCCACCAACCAGCTGTCAAATTTCGGGCAAATACCTCAAGAGCAGTGTATGACTCACGGGAGCTTTCACTGGAGAAAAAGACCCTCTCAAAAATGCTTTTCAAATTGGGTTTGCGAGAATGCAGGTCTGGGACCGCGGCGATGACTCTTCTCGTAGCGACAGCTTCACTCACGACTGTCAAATCATCTGTTTGGCGCGACGATGATGCAGATATTCCAAAATCCGGTCTTTGTTTACCGATGACCAGAATCTCATACGGTTTCCGCCAAAGACCATCCAGAGCTGAAATCGGCTGACCACTCAGTGTGGTCTTGACCCAGACCCATTCCTCGCAGACGTCAAATCCTGCACTACTCATCGCATGATAGGCAGCTTTCCGTGACTTTTCGGCGTTGGTAATCCATATAGCGGCTATAGATTGTTGGCTTTGAATCTGGGCTCCGCTCTGGCTTTCTACCAACTCCTGCGTTATATCCTCACGTCGATACGAGTGTGTTTGAAGAATCTTTCGCATTCCCACAGTGAGCATATTCATCTCGGAGTAGTGGTTTGTTGTATAGTGGCCGCTTCGCCGAACAGATCGGTTTGGCCACGGCGGGTCCATCAGGATAAGGTTGAACCTCTGCGAAAGCCCGGGGATGGGATTTTCATGCGCTGCATGGTAATCAGGTCCATTAAAAATAGGCAGTTCACATAGTATGAAGCTTGACCCTGGTGGAACCAGGTATTCACTCATCGTTTCATGGGACGTTCCAATTTGGATAATTGCGGCTTCTGATGATGGATTCTTCGCTACCTTAAGCTCCGAGAGTGACTCGAATATATTAGGTGCGGCTGATGATAGAATCATGGGTGGCTCATCGAGTTTTATAACATGGCCATCGGGTCCAGGCTGTAGGGATGTAGAATCGTTCCCTTTCCGTCTTTTCCGCGATGGAGTGTGATCTGGCACCCTATACTCGTGCACTTCCTCACAGGGTACAGCTCTGGTGAGACACCATCGATCATGTTCGACCCCGGCCCTGATAGTTTCCAGGGAGTCTTTCACGAGGGGCAATATCAATTCCGAGTGGAACCGTCTCTCGGAGATAGGAGAGCTTTCAAGAACCTTGGCACGGGCACTTGGTTTTTTGGGCTCAGTTGATGGGAATGGTTCTTTGGCAGGGGGACAAGATAGGAGTTGTTTTCTCTGCGACTTGTTCGTTTGTGTCCTTGAGCTCGATTCTGCTGTCGGCGGCGCAGACTGTTTGCATGGGGCTGTTTCCCCCTGGGCGAGGGCGATCGAGTATGGAATGTCCAGAAGGAAGGTATTGTTCTCTACCTGGAAGAGGATCGCCGATTCTATGACCTTGGACATGTTGGTTCGTCATTGTGAAAAGGACATTTTTAGACCAGAGATTGCGGGTACATGTGGAGGTCTCACGGCCTTAATTCGATAGAGGTCTGACCAACAGAACCCCCTTGTTTCAATGGAAATGTCGATATGTCTTTATGGGTATCGCCTTAGTGTTACTCCAGGATCTATATCATTACCTTCAATATAATATATGTGTACTAGATACTACAGACTCTGTAGTATTGAGGTAAATGCTTATGTTCTATAACGAAATATATATATACCCCCAGGACAGTTTCTGCAACGAAATTCTCTGGCACTTAAGTCTGTTATATTTTTGTAAACCGGCTCCTTACAACAGGCAACGCTTAGGCAGAGAGACGAAGTGGAGGAACTAGTAGCAGCCTAGTACTTCCAGATCACGGGGCCATGCAGACTAAGACAAGGCAATGTTGCATGACTCAGAGCTGAAAGGCAAGGGCATAAAGGGCATATCAGAGATACCTTTTATTCGCAGTATTGTAACACTGTTATAACTAAATATATGAAATCCAAGTTCCGTATAGTTATTGGAGTTGGATTCTCCGGGCCCAATCCGAGCTCTATCTTCCCCACCAACCCGCGCAATTTTAGGTGACGTGTGATTCTTCTCTTCTCCCCTACTCCCGGCAACTTTGCCGTTCCTTCATCACGCCTCCCATCACGCGGAAACGAAAGGCGGCTGAGGTTGATAACGACCAGCCTTCGCCTAAAGCCGCCACCAAGGCCCACGGCCCCCGGCACGCCACCTCATCCGACCGACCGGCCTTGTCCAAACACAGTTCAGCTGCGACAGAGATCACAGAGAATA